CCTTAGTCAAAGGGATCTAAGACCACTTCCTAACCTTGGGGAAAAAGTTAAGAGTGGAAACTATTCAAGCACAGACAGTTATAGATTCAGATTCAGAGAAAATGTCAGAGAGACTTAACGAGACGCGTACTGGATAATTCTCCATCCTGCAATGGAAGGAACAGGGAAGATGCATCAAGGCTCTTAAAGCAGGGACAGAAAGACATGCCTGGGTCCCTGGGGGAATGGAAACTTACTGAGTTCCTCCAGGAGCTTCTCTGGAAAATAAGCAGAGAAAATAATGAACTGTTACAGGTGAGGGAGTTCTCTAAAAAATAAACCTTAAAAACAACCCAGCTCTGGAGTGGGGATAGGCGTGAGGCCTTTGGGCTTTGGCCTGTAAGCTAGAGGTTCAGATAAACTCCCAGGGTCAGCTACCTCTTGTGATTCGTTCTTGCTTTATTGTGCTCCATGCCATTTCTCTCAACTCTTGCGCTCTTTTTCTTTCTGAACAGAGTCTTTTTTCCTCCTGCTGTTGCCACAGGAAGTAACGGGCTGCCCCGAGAAGCAGCAGCAAGATAGGCAGGGTCCCTGCCAGGGCAGCGATCCAGCTCTGGGCGCTCCTGAAGAAGGGGCTTGTGAAGGGAAGGGCTATGGGCCATGGGGGCCTGTGCACTCAGCCTCCCCAGACTGCAGCGCCCCAAGTGTTAGCTGCTCACCCCGGGTCACAGGGCACGGAATCTATCTCACGGGGTTAAATAATCTTTCTCATTCTAAAATCTCAGAGGACTGTGGGTAAGACTTTGATAAACCCCCACTAGAGGCTGCTACTATTACTTGTCTTGGGATGTCTGCCTCTCATGTGAAAAGTGAGTGACTTGAGCAGATCAGACACAGTTTTTTCTATTTCAACTTTTTGATAGGTAACACATGTACATGGTTCAAAAATACATATATAAAAAGTCACACAAGTCTCCCATCCATCCAGTCCTCCCTCCCACCCTCCCTTTCTTAGCTTCAAATCAGTCTGCTTAATATGATGCTTAGGGTGTCAATGCTGGCTCCTTTAGGTGACTAGCAGTGTGACTGTAGAGTAATTATTTAACCTCTCTATTCCTACTGCCCTTCTCTTTGAAATTGGGGTAATGTTAATACCTACCTCCTGAAGTTACAAGGATTAAATTAATAAAGTACCTGACACCTAGTGAGTGTTATGACATTGCTTGTTAACATAAAAAGTGTAAATAAAAATGTATTCTTGTTTTTCCTCTTATTTGCACTGAAGATAGCATTCCATACACACCACTCTGCATTTTGCTCTTTCTGTGCAAAGTTAATCTTGGAGATCCTTCCATATCAGTATAGAGATAATTTTCTCTTTTTTCTTTCACACTTGAGTGGTATCCACTGCGTGAAAGTTCCTTAGCTGTGAACATCTCCATAGTTTCTAACCTTGTGCAGTCATAATCAGTGCTATAAAAAATAACTTTTTACTTGGATCATCTCACATAAATGCAAGCTTATCTACCAAATAAATCCCCAGAAGTGGAATTTTGGATCACTAAAGATGTAATTTGGGTAGATAGTGCTATATAGCCCCCAATAAAAGTTATGCTAATGCACACCAAAAATAGTTACTAGTTAGTTGGACAAGTTCTTTAGCAGGAAAGAGGATACTGAAATGCTAGAAACTGAGCCAGTAGAGGATGGGAAGCTTGGGGAGAGAGGAAATGAGGAAAGATTTCTGAACAACAGTGGGGAGTTCCTCTGTAACAAGCAGCTGGAGTCCATAGGCATCCCGTGGTTTCACAGTCCAGTTGGGTCACCACTTAAGTCAATACAGCCCACATTAACACCTTCTGCTATGAAATCTTCCCCTCAAATTCCTCATAAAACATGCAGCAGTATTCTGAAACATCTGAACTAAAACACTCAGCAGACATTTATCTTTGTATTCTTCATGAAATGTGTTTTGTCTTTTTTTTTTTTTTTTTTACTAGTGTTTAAGTCATTTTTTACTTGAATCAGATGGTGTCATTTAATAAGGATTTTATGAGTTCTTGGTTTTTAAATTCCAGACTTTCCTTTTCTACATGTGAGATAGTTTTCATTTTAACTGGCATGTTATATGCACACAGAAACAAAGACTAGAGCAAAATAATGTAACGCAAGGGGAGAAAAGAAATGCACAAAGTAAAGAACATTCTCTCATAGAACAATGATCTGTTTTACAGGAAACAAATCTTGCCTTGAAATTTACACAGTGAGACTGTACATAACTCCATGAAAATAGCTATTTTTAAAGACATTTTTCATTCATGAGTATTTTCAAATTTTTCACACTGTACACATTTCTTAAAACATGATACCAGCAGCAACTAAAAATGAACGCCAATTTTAGTACATATGCGTTATCTACCTTAAGGTAACAAAAGTATGTGGCAAAACATATACCACTCACAGTGCTTCAAAATATGCATTTCTATTTAACCAGCGTTTGTTGTAGGAAATATTCCTAATAAGACTCATTCACTGTTTATAAATGTTCTGGTATGCATTCTTTATAGTGAAGTGTTAATACATCACATCTTATTTATTTTAGCAAATCAGTATATTTTCTGCATTTAATTATAAAACTTAACATAGTTTAAAAAATTTATTTGCAAATACACTTTTTCCATTTGGCACTATGGTGTGTTGCCTACCTAGCTGAATCTATAATGTCAGCTTATCCTAAGGCTGTCCATATACTTAATTCATGTAAGTGTTCATTTTAAGTAATGTGCTCATGGTGTACAGGAATTCGTATTTTGGAGGTGCTTGATCTATCTACAAAGAAAAATTAGATAGGAATTACTTTATTATGAAATGCTCCCAGAAGTCTTGTGTGTGTGTGTGTGTGTGTGTGTGTGTGTGTGTTTAAACGAATGTTAGACTTGTGTGCATGGAAGTAATTTAGGTACATCATTAATATAGTTTAAAAGTTGTACATGATAAGACACTTTGTTTTTACTGTATGTTTTTACTGAATGATCTATTCCCCATCCCAAGGCCAGCATGAATAAAATTAGGTTAAATGTAAATAATAATAATAATAATAATAATTGTATAGGCCTGGCGTGGTGGCTCATGCCTGTAATCCCAGCACTTTGGGAGACTGAGGCAGGCGGATCACCTGAGGTCAGGAGTTCAAGACCAGCCTGGCCAACTTGGCAAAACCCGTCTCTACTAAAAATACAAAAATTAGCTGGGCATGGTGGCATGCACCTGTAATCCCAGCTACCCAGGAGGCTGAGACAGGAGAATCGCTGGAACCTGGGAAACAGAGGCTGCAGTGAGCTGAGAATGCACCACTGCACTCCAGCCTGGGTGACAGAGCAAGACTCCATCTCAAAAAAACAAAAAACAAAAAACAAAAAAACCTGTATATTCATACAACAAAATACATTGTATCCATTGGATAATATTCGTTAGGTTTTGGGGAAATGATGAATAAAAGGAAAAACACATACTGTTCCTAAAAGACACAAAACAAGGTGTAATGTATGGATCTAATGTTGTTAAAATTATAAATAATTGCCCTTCATGAAAAACACGATTCCTAAAGGCTGCATGGAAATCTCTTTTATGACTGAAACATGCATTGTTTGTCTATCCCTCGCCTGTTGTATATGTATGCTGGTTCAGACATTTCTATATTTTTAATATTTCTGAAATGAACAGATTTACATATGAATCTATAAAGGACATCTCTTTTTAGAAATTCTTAGAATAGATGCCTTGAGTTGGCCAGAAGAGATTTTAAAGATTTTTTGCCCTTTTCTGACCACAATACATTCTTAAGAACATGCAATTAGAATATTTCTTGACCAAATCCCAAACTCTGCAGGTCTTTATTCTTTGTACTACTTCTCCACTTTCTGTGTGTCCACAAGTGTGTGTGCACACCCCCTCAGGCACACCCCTCAGACACCTGACACCTTTCTCTGCACAAGTACTCTCCCTGCATGCCCACTCACCACTCTCAGCGATTCAGCCCCTGTCCCCCCCGACATTGTAGCCCAGGCTCTCATCAACTTCTCCCACTTACCTCTTAGCATTCCCATCTGAAAATCACAGCCCACGGAAGAAAGGTGGTTAATAGTTCTCCATTCTTTCTATTATGGTTGAATCTCCATTTGGAAGATAGGAAAAAGAAAGCAGAGGCTGTCTGGTCATCGTGAGGAATAATAACAATCTCTCTTTGGAAGAATTAGTTTTTTGATTGGCTCGGAGGTGGTGTTTCTCATCAGTTGCTGGCCAGAAACCCCTGAGGAAGGCTAAAAGTACATTGAATTGTACACGTTGAAGAAAAATTCCTGCCTTACCTCCCTTAGTGTTTGTGTTTCTTTCTTTCATCCTTGTGTGTATATGAGTATTTCTATATATTTACTTGTCTTAAATCTTTTATCATAATGGAAATATCAGCAGAACAAAATGAGAAAAGATTTTAATGTGGTGAAGAGAGAAAGATGTCCACTAATTAAAATGCTATTGTGGCAGTTTGCTACATTTGCTTGCATGAATATGGGTACATGCAGGAGGAGGAGATATTACTGCAGAGTCACATAAATATATGAATGGAAAGAAAACCAGACACAATACACTTTTTTTTTTTTTTTTTTTTTGAGACGGAGTTTCACGCTGTTGCCCAGGCTGGAGTGCAGTGGCGCGATCTCGGCTCACTGCAAGCTCCGCCTCCTGGGTTCACGCCATTCTCCTGCCTCAGCCTCCTGAGTAGCTAGGACTACAGGCGCCCGCCACCGAGCCCGGCTAATTTTTTTTGTATTTTTAGTAGAGACGGGGTTTCACTGTGGTCTCGATCTCCTGACCTTGTGATCCGCCCGCCTCGGCCTCCCAAAGTGCTGGGATTACAGGCTTGAGCCACCGCGCCCGGCCCCACTTTTTTTTTTTTTGAAACGGAGTTGCACTCTGTCACCCAGGTTGGAGTGCAGTGGCAGGAACTCGGCTTTATGAGCAGATTTATGAGCAGACATTTATTAAGGAAATTGGCTGATGTGAATATAGAGGCTAAGAAATCACACAACAGCCCGTCTGTAGGCTGGAGACCCTGGGATGCTGGTAGCATGGCTCATTTGAAGTCCGAAAGCCTCAGAACCAGGGAAGCTGGTTGTGTAACTCTCAGTCCAAAGCCAAAGGCCTGAGAACCCAGGGCCTCCTGGTACAAGTCCTGAAGTTCAAAGGCTGAAGAGCTAGGAGTTCTGATGTCCAAGGGCAGAAGAAGAAGAGTGTCTCAGCTCCAGAGGAGAGAAGAATTTGTCTTTCCTCTGCCTTTTGGTTCTATTGGGCCCCCAGCCAATTGGACAGGAGAATTTCCCACTGACTCACATGCCAGTCTCTTCTGGAAACACACTCACAGACACATCCAGAAATAATGTTGTACCAGTTGTCTAGGTATTCCATAATCCAGTCAAGTTGACATCTAAAATTAACCAGCACATGGATTAACTTCCAGGATCCACTATTCTAGTTTCCAAATGCGGTCTTGGGATTCCTAGCACGAACTCTGATATACTCTTAAGGAGTCCCCAGTGTTAACACTATTTTCACAATAATAATAATGAAACATTAACCATTTTTCATCTCATTGTCTCAGTAGGGTGCAGTAAAGTTTTTTTTTTTGAGAAAATATGACCTATGATAAACCAATAGGTTTAATACAAAGGCAGATATGAGAATACAAACATCTTCTATTAAGCCAGACATTAGATTTGGAAAAAGTTAACCAGGAATAAAAGAACTTCTAGTTCTTTTATTGGGACACAATAGATTGCTTTTTCACAAAACATCCTGTTTATATTAAACTATAATTGATTTATTCATGCTATTTTAACATGAATTAAAAGATAACATTTCAAATTTTGTTTCAATGTCAAATGCCGTAACTATTAACAAATATTAACCCAAATAAACAAAAGTTCTTTAAGGTCCTCAATGGTTATTAAGTGTCTAAAGACATAATTAGATCAGGAAGTTTGAAGCCACTGGTGTCCCCATTGAACCTGAATGCTGACGTAGACCAGTTGCAGTACTTCCCTGCTCAACCAGGACCTCAAACCTCAACCACACTCAGGGACTAAGTACTGACTCATTGTTTATTGCAGGGACACGTAAGCCAAACCACATCCACACGAGTCCATGTTCTTCATTCATCTTCATCCCAGGTCCAGGCTTGTGGGTGTGTGTTGTGGAAATCCTGGGGTTGGGTGGAAATGAGTCATCATCTCCCAGGTCCCCTTAGCTGTTATGTTGGGGCTTATCCACCCTTACAACCTTGGTCCCTCCCAGCTGTCTGGTTCCACTTCCTCTATCTCTGACCTGCATATCTGGTTCCCTCTCCTCTCTGGTGGTCCTGTGGATTCCTCTCTCCTCTCTCATCCTGATGAACCCTGTTGGCCTCATTCCATGTCCATAACATCTGGTGCCAACTGGCATACTGGACTCAATGTGGTCACCTTGATGTTAAATAGCAGGTTTGCTGCCCATCAACTTCGCACACTTTCTTCTTGGCTGGGAGCTATGACACAACTAGTTTCCTATGCGTGGATCCCATCCCATAGTTACAACCAAAGGAACTACTAAAGCCACAGCCTAGTGAGGAGGAGAAAACTGGGGCTAAGGGCTGGAGTGGGTGTGAAAGAGGCAGGTGGAAGCTGTTCTCTTACGTGACCAGAGGGGAGAAGGGCGTGTCTTCCACCAACAACATTGTGCAGTGGCTGCTGAGATGACGAGGGCTTGTCTACATGGCTGTGAGACCGGCGAATTGATTCTACAGGCTCTGATTGGTCCCCACTCTGTGAAGTGTCAGGCCCTCTTCAGGCACTGTGATCCCACTGGCTCCTGTGAGTGCGGGACAGATGAAGATGGGGCTGTCATCAGACCCTATCCTGAAGAAGGGCCTCACAGGCACAGAAAAGGCTAAACGAGGACATGTGTAGATGTGCGATCTGTCCCTCATGTTGTAGAAGGAGACATCTCCTGCTTCATAGTCCAGGAAGACGCCCACACGGCAAAGGGACTCCTTCAAAGGGAGAATCCTCTTAGGTGAGGACAGGGCCCGGTATTGCCCTTTACACATCTCCAAGGTCCAGAAGCCATTCCGAGGACGCAGCAGGACCTCCTCTTTCCTCTCAACACTGTCTCTGCAGACCCCCACAGTCCACTCAATCACGTTTTCCACCTCCACCTCCCAGTAATGTTTCCCTGAAGCGAAGCTCTCCCGGCCCAGGACACAAGGCTCACTGTGGAATCTCTCTGGGTTGTCAGGCACGCTCTCCCCTAGGTGCCTGAGGGGGCACCTTCGCACACTTCTCCGGTCCTCTGACAGCAAGAGATCAGGATGAGCGGTGTCTGGATCCAGGACCACATCGACTGCAAAGGAAGTCTCAGGTTTAGGCCTGGGGTCTCAGGAACCTGGGGGATTGTGTGGTTCCTGATTCCCAGAGAGGTCTCAGATATCTGTGGGGGGATCCCCAGGTAGTGGCCACTTCCATGAAGGCTCTCTGATCCTAGGCAGCTCACACACTGAGAATTACTGAAGCTGCCCTTCTATCTCTCCAGCAGTTCCCTCAGTTTGAGAAGAATTGGAGCTCTAAGAAATTCGGAAAGTTTAGCATATGAGGCAAAATTAATCATTCTTTCTCTCAGCGTTCTAAATGTGTTCCCTTTTCTATTCAAGACATAGGATCTCTGGCCAGGCACGGTGACTCACGCCTGTAATCCCAGAACTTTGGGAGGCCGAGGCGGGTGGATCACCTGAGGTCAGGAGTTCGAGACCAGCCTGGACAGCATGGTGAAACCCCATCTCTACTAAAAATACAAAAGTTAGCCTGGCATGGTGGTGCACGCCTGTAATCCCAGCTACTCAGGAGGCTGAGGCATGAGAATTGCTTGAACCCGGGAGGCAGAGGTTGCAGTGAGTCCAGATTGTGCCTCGGCACTCCAGCCTGGGTGACAGAGCAAGATATGATCTCAAAACAAACAAACAAACAAACAAAAAAACAAAAACAAAACTCAAAACAAAGACCTATGATCTCTGGATTTTCTTTAGTTAGAAACTTTCCAACTTAGCTCAAACCAGCACAGAGGCTTTATGTCCTGCTCCTCCTCTCCCCAGTGGATCAAGTATGAGTTTTTCCCTTTACACTATCCCAGAGGGTAAAGGGTCTCTTCATTGGTCTTGTGTGTTCCTTTTACCAGATCACAACTGACTTAAATGACTGACAAGGGCACCCTTCAAAAAATAAAGAAGGAGAATAAATGTCCCCAAAAGAAAACCTGCTTCCTGAGGGATCTGTAGGCAAAAGTGGGGAGGAACAATTCCCATCCAGTTTTGCTTCAACAGTGTGGGTCTGATGTCTTCAGGTATCACTTCTGTAGGTATAAGAAATGCTCCGGACACTGGGCATTCTGCAGGCCTCTCCCATCTGTATTTATTCTTACTTATTCTGTCTACCTTTCTATTGTGTTAAAATGATTTCCTCCATTCCACAAGTAAATATGTCTGACTGTGACGATTTGCTATTTTGTCCCAAGTGGAAAGTGGCAATTTTGAAATTCACCTAAAGAGGAAAGGTCCATGCGTCATGGTATCTGGTAAAGCTTGGATTCTGTGGTGCTTATGGGCAGAGGGGCAGAATCATAAGATGAAAAGTGCTCACTGGGAGTGGGCAATTGGGTTCTGTGCTCTCCCACTCACCGGAACACCCTCCCCTGGCAGGCTATACACAAAGTATCAGTGCTCTCTTAGGAGCAGAAAGGCATTTCTTGTCACCTATTGGTACACCCTTTTGTCAGGCTTACTAGGGACCCTCATGGCCTCTTCCCCACATGGGTCTTCAACTTGGCACAGTCTACACCATCCCCAGGATATAAGCTGCTTAAGACAGCATTGTCTTTTTTCAAATTTATCCAGGATCAAAGAGCAACAACTACTGAAACGTAACTCTTAGGAAGGCTACTATATATGGGACACTTCTGGTAATCATGTATTAAATTATTCCAAAAGAGAAAGGATCCTGGGATGTAAACCATAGGGTGGATTGAGAGATGTCAGGATTCCCTCACAGAAGAGCCATGATGCATCATTGCTGGGACACTGTTGATGAACTGACCCCAGCTCCCTGCTGTCCCTGCCTAGCCCTGGTCCCCTTGCCCATCTCCTCTAAGGAGTCCTGTTAGCTGGCTAGCGGGAGAAAGCTGAGATCTAAGGGAACATCAGAGACACTCACCGGCATGTAAAACTGTTCTTCTCCATCCTGCAAGGGACAGACAGAGGCGAATGTCATGAGATGTTGCTAACTGAGCAGAACTCAAATTGTATATGGATTAGTTCAGGAAAGGCTAAACTTACGCAATTCTTCTTGAAGTTGCTCTGAAAAACAACAGAAAGAAAATCATGTCTTCGACAGAAGAACTAAAAGAAGTTGGGTTTAGGCCGGGCGCGGTGGCTCAAGCCTGTAATCCCAGCACTTTGGGAGGCTGAGACGGGCGGATCACGAGGTCAGGAGATCGAGACCATCCTGGCTAACACGGTGAAACCCCGTCTCTACTAAAAAAATACAAAAAAACTAGCCGGGCGAGGTGGCGGCGCCTCTAGTCCCAGCTACTTGGGAGGCTGAGGTAGGAGAATGGCGTAAACCCGGGAGGTGGAGCTTGCAGTGAGCCGAGATTGAGCCACTGCACTCCAGCCTGGGCGACAGAGCGAGACTCCGTCTCAAAAAAAAAAAAAAAAAAAAAAGAAGTTGGGTTTATAGTAAAAATGCTGGAACCGTCCTTTCTATGAACAGCAACATCTCCCTTGCCTCATGCCTAGGGCACTGTCAGAAACCAGAAATGATATGTCATCAGGTGGTGGGTAGTGCCGGTACATTGTTATACTTGCTTTTGCTCAACCATGTAGTACTTCATGTAGCCAGATGAATGGATGCAAGGTGGGCAGAGTGAAAGAACAAAAGCTCTGAGAGATTCATTCCAAGGACGTCAGAGTTCCAAGTCCTTGCTGCTGCTGTGCATTTCCTGTCTCTTCCATATGCTGGTACCTGGGAGAGTGGTGTCTTTTCTATGGTGCTGAACTGTCCTCCTACTCTTCTACTTTTTTTTTTTTTTTTTAATTAAACGGGGTCTCACTTTATTGCCCAGGCTGGTCTCGAAATCCAGGGCTCAGGTGATCTGCCTGCCTCAGCCTCCTACAGTGCTGGGATTCAAGCCATAAGCCACCATACTCAGCCTCTTTTACCTTTTACTTGAAGTTCTTTCTCTTTTTGCACACGTTCCTTCTTCAGTTCCTTTTCAGCAATTTCTCTTCTTTTCCATTCAGACTCCATTTCCCCTGACAGAATCTTTGTTTCCTTTTGGAGTCTGTTGATCCAGTAGATGCATACGGCAATGATTATCATCAGAAAGACCACAATGATAGGCAGGGCCACCACACAGGGAGACACGCTGGGCATAAAGGATTCTGAAAAGGCAGCCAGAAATGTCCACTTAGTTTGAAACAGAACATCTGGGGTAAGAGTGCCCTTAGGAGCACAGCTGAAGGGCTCCTCAGCCACCTGCTCTGTTGCTTTCTCCCTCAGAAAACTCAGATGGAGAAAGTGATGCTGGCTCAGATCTGGCTGACACCTCAGTGGCTTCCAGGGCCAAGGCCCAGAGGTAGCAAACCAGTCACCATGGGAAGGGCCAGGGTGAATAAAGCTAACCCGTCATGCTGAGTCAGCACAGCCACCACCCTGCCTCAAGCTACCATCACTCACGCCTGGAATACTGCAGTGCCCTCCTTCTTATTCTGCCCTCACCTTCTACAGTCTATTCTCAACAGACCAGTCCAAGTGTAATCATGTTAATTCTTAGCTCAAAACCTTCCAATGCTTTCCATGTCACTCTCCCTAAAAACCAAAGACTGTTTGTGGCTTATGATGCCATGTAGAATGTGTTTTCATTGTCTCTGTGAATTCATCTCCTCTCACTTCCTGCACTCACTCCATTTCAGCCACACCAGCATCGCCTTCTGGGGGTCCTGGAAGCTGCCAGGGATGTTCTTTCCCCAGGTCCTTTGCATATGCTTTTCCTGTAGCTGGTTGCTCAGTCCTTAAGCATCTGATGATTCCTTACCATCAGACGGGATGGCTCAATTCCCATCTCTACAGCGAAGTCTTCCCTGACCATTCTGTTAAGAATCGTAATGTCTCACACTGCCTCTTTATTCCTTCCTTGCTTAATGTTTCCTATAGATGTTCATCACCATCTGATAGAATATATGGTTAACTAATTATTTAATCACTTTTTGAGGGAAGAGTTCTTGATATAATTTGTTCAATTATTTACCTTTGGTTTCTAGAACAGTGTCTTGACATATGATATGCTTCTTGACCATTTGTTGAATGAATTACGAGTATGTGTCAATAGGGAATTTCCGCGGCTCTATCCCGTTGAAAATCCCCTGTGCAGGAAGGGATGGCTGCAGCATACAGGAACACCAAGTGTAGAGAGTCACTTATCCACACCACCCTCCATGTGTTATGGTTGTTTTCAAAGTCTAAAAATTGCTGGCCGGGTATGGTGGCTCACGCCTGTAATCCCAGCACTTTGGAAGGCTGAGAAAGGTGGATCGTTTGAGGTCAGAAGTTCGAGAGCAGCCTGGTCAACAAGGCGAAATCCCCATCTCTACTAAAAATACAAAAATTAGCTGGGTGTGGTGGCGTGTGCCTGTAGCCCTAGCCTTCGGGAGGCTGAGGTATGAGAATTGCTTGAACCTGGGAGGCAGAGGTTGCAGTGAGCCAAGATTGTGCCACTGTAGGCTAGCCTGTGTGACAGAGCGAGAACTGGTCTTAAAAAAAAAAAATATGTTGCCGCAGCCTGAGGACCTTATCGGGGGAAAAACAACAACAACAACAACAACAACAACAACAAACCAGGTTCACCCTCAGAGAAGAGGCTCCTACTCCTGAGTTTTGGGACTCTTTGATTCTCCTTTTGTGAGAAGTGGAGAGGCCTCAGCTCAGCTGCAGCCTCCTGGTCCTCAGGGCCCAGGACCATTCCACCCACACTGCTGCCCCCATCCCTGCTCTGGGCTCCATCTGTGTGCTGAGGATCCCCATGCACCCAATGAGTCTCAGAGGGCAGAGAACTAACCTGGAATAAAAATGACACTTTCTTTCTTCTGGCCGAGCAGGGTGTCACTGATAGAGCAGGACATGTTCCTCATCGACTTATCTCTGATGATCACAGCTGTGGTGACCATGAAGAGGCCGTCTGTGTCAGGGGTCACGACCTCCTTCAGGGCAGGCACAATCCCACCGTAGGGGTCCCTCCACACTGTGAGGGGCTTTGGGTACCACCCTCTAGATATGCACTCCAGCCGGATGCCCCCGTCCTCGTGGCCCCTCATTTCAACGAGGGGCTTAGAGCCCAGTCCTGTGGAGAGATACCAGAGTTCAGACAAGAATCAGTGCCTTTTGCATCTCTTCTGTGCCTACTGCATCTCTTCTGTGAAACTAGAAAGTAAAGGTGAAAAAGAGGGAGGTAGGAAGCAAGAAATAGGAAGGAGGAAAAAAAGGAGGAGGGTAAGGAAGAAAGAACGTTGATGTTAGAGAATACCAGGAGACCAATGGGCCACATAAACTGTGAGTTCTCTAAGAGCAAACGATCCCATTGTGCCCTTTTCTTTGTGGTCCACGTACAGACCCCATCACAGCACCAAACATCTATCTGTCTGCTATAAATGCTTATTCAATTTATCCTGCCAGACTAATTTTCTCACTTCAAGATGGGTGTGTCGACTCCAACTTCAAACAGGCAGGTTTTGGATTTCACTTTCTGCTTCTGGGACGACTTCTCAGTAGACCTCAGCTTCCAGAAGCTCTAGAGTAATAATGACAAGGACGAAAGTCTGCCAGGCGGGCAGAATCCTAAGAAACCTTTTGATCCAAAGACGCTGACCCTTCTGTCTAGTTCAGAACTTCACATAACCACCGTTCTCTACCACCCATAGGAGGTGATGGTTTTTGGGAAACTTGACAAGATCTAGCCTGCAAAGCCAACTCTAATCCTAATTCACACTATTTACCTCCCAGAGGCTCCATCCATTAGGCAGTATTGCTTTTCTTTTTTAGAGACAGGGTTTGAGCTCTGTTGTCCAGGTTGGAGCACAGTGGCAAAATCATAGCTCGCTGTGCCTTGTACTCCTGGGCTCAAGAGATCCTCCCGCTTCAGTCTCCCAACTAGCTAGGATTACAGGCATGTTCCACCATTCTTGGCTAACATGTTGCCCAGGCTGGGTGGTTTTCTTATAGTACTTTGAGAACATCAATTTATTAGAAAGATCCGGATAATCCAGGGACTAAGATAACCATACTACCTTTCCAATATCAGAGATCATCACCAAAAATTTTAAGAAACTAGACTCACCCTAACTACAATCCATCTTTAAATGAATCTTCCATAAAAGTGAACACTGGGTATGAAAGAGCTGCAAAAGCGTAGTCCTGGGAGACCTTTCAGCCATGTGGGACCACCTAAACTTCTCTGAGTTATTCCTTTATAAAGTCTCCCAAAGAATTTTACCAAAGACAGGAAATTAAACCAAAAACTTAAGTCTGGTGTTTTGGCTCAATTTAATAATAAAAAAAATTTTTTTTGACACGGTCTCACTGTATCACCTGAGCTGGATTGCAGAGGCATGATCATAGCTTACTGCATCCTGGACTTCTGAGGCTCAGGTGATCCTCCAACCTCAGCCTCCCAAGTAGTTGAGACTACAGGCATGTGCCACCATGCCCAGCTTTTTTTTTTTTTTTTTTTTTGCATCTTTTTGTAGAGACTGGATTTCACCATGTTGCCCAGGCTTACTGTAATTTTTTTTTTTTTTTAAGACAAAATCTTGCTCTGTAGCACAGGTTAGAGTGAAATAAATGGTACGATCTCGGCTGACTGCAACCTAGGCCACCTGAGTTCCAGTGATTCTCTGGCTCAGCCTCCCAAGTAGCTGGGACTACAGGCATGTGCCAGCATGCTTGTATAATTTTTGCAGTTGTAGTTGAGAAGGGGTTTCACCATGTTGGTCAGGCTAATCTCGAGCTCCTGACCTCAGGTGAGCCACCCGCCTTGGCCTCCCAAAGTGCTAGGGTTATAGGCATGAATTACCGCACCGAGCCCAGGGTCACTTTAATTTTTATCAAGAGAAAAAACTACTTGTACATTTAAAGGCTCAGTAGAATAAAAATTAAAATAACTTAGCAAATTGGAAAACAAAGTTCTTCAAAACATTCCATGAGGTCCAATACAGGCAAGCATGACAAAATAGATTTAAGGGCAAAATCAGCCACCAATAAACCTAACAAAGAGAATACAGTAAACAAAAAGTCCTACGCAACCCAATTCAGAGTGGGGAAAGCCAGGCCAGTGTCAGTTTTACAGGCAAAGAATGGCAGATTCCTGCCGCACAGAAACCATAACTGGTCAAACCTAGAGCGCTGCTATGAACACAGTGAGGACGCAGTGTCAAGAAACCCTCCTTTCATGATATTGTGTTTTAATCAGATGCAAGGTTGCCTTTGTGTGTAGCAAAGATGGGGTCTCTTACCTGTTATGATTTGAGACCCCCAGGGAAGGACCCAATTCCCTAGTCTGCACATCCTCTGGTCTGATGGAGTGAAATGCCACCACAGATTATCCTGCTCCCGAAAGGCTTTTTCAGTCCTCAAACATATCTGTTTGTTGTTGTTGTTTAATATTTGATACAGAGTCTTGCTCTGTCGCCCAGGCTGGAGTGATGTGGTAAGATCTTGGCTCCCTGCAACCTCTGCCTCCTGGGTTCAAGCAATTCTCATGCCTTAGGCTCCCAAGAAGTTGAGATTACAGGCACATTCCACAAAGCCTGGCTAATGTTTTTGTATTTTTAGTAGAGATGGGGTTGCACCATGTTGGCCAGGCTGGTCTTGAACTCCTGGCCTCAAGAAATCCACCTGCCTCTGCTTCCCAAAGTGCTCGTATTACAGGTGTGAACCACTGCGCCTGGCCCAGATATACCTTTTAAAGCATAATACACTAACCCCAAAACTGAAGTAATCACTTAATGTCATTTTAACAAACTCCTAGAAATCCCAGTTTAAATGCATTTTTATGTTGAAGGCTTCCCTATTACCTCCCAGTGAACTTTTTAGTCTTTCTCTATGGAGTTAGCAGGAACTATGTATAGTTTTGCTTCTGTATTTCGTCTTGCTTTAATGAAACCATCTATTTACAATAAGTCACTCTCTCTGCAATCAGCATTTTGGGAAAGAAGAAGTCAGGGTTAATATTTATCAGGAAGTAAGATTTGATATGTCGCCGTTCTCTGGGTAATCGTTGTTGATTCCAGTTGTCTTGGAACAATTATTGACAGTGTCTCCTCTCACTATCAGAAGTGCAACCTGGGAGGCAGAGGTTGCAGTGAGACGAGATTGTGCCAGCGAGGGTGCAACAGAGCAAGACTCTGTCTCAAAAAGAAAAAAAAAAAAAAAAAAGAAGTGCACAGTTCAATGCTAAGGCATGCATAAGACTTTTCTTCTGAGAGTGACCATTTTCCCCTGCTCACGGCCTCAGCTGAATTCTGCGTGTGCTTCTCAAGAAGTGAAGCACTTGGTTTAGCAGGGCAAACCCACTCATGTGGCCCTTGTGCAGGAGCAAGGATTTTTCCCTGGAATTCCGTTTCCACAGGGAGAGTGTCCCTGTGGAATCTCTCTGTGGAAATGGGATTCCAGAGAAAAATTTGCTGGTCTGCAATGGGCATGAGGTTGGGAGAGAAACCTTCCCCAGAGTCACACTGTGCCAAAGTAACAAAGCAAAATGAAGCAACGCACCTGCCACCATGAGGTGCAGGATGGCCTCATCGTAGGACCTGCCTTCTTGGAAGTAACAGCGGTAGGTGCCGTTCTCCTGAGCTGTAACGTTGTGTATGATCAGGGCCACGCTGCCCCTGCTGATGTCTTTGCTCACAAAGGTGGTTCTTCCTCGGTACTCCTCCATCTGCTCCTCTGTTCTCTCTCTCCCACCCTTATACACAAACACTGCTGGGGAGAACTGAGACCGGAACCACCGCACCTCCATGTCCTCAGCATTTTTCTCGGGTGACAGATGGCAGCGTAACATAGTGTTTTCTCCCACCTTGGCCAGGATGGGATCAGTTGGCCCCACGACAGTAAACTGGGCTGTTCAACAAAGGGGTAGAGTCAGACAAAGACATCAGCCATCACATTTCTAAGGCAGAAAGGGAAGCAGATATTCCAGGGATAAACATATTCTTTCCATGGCCATACGGTCTCTTTGGGTGAGAAATCTGGGGACCAGTAGCTGTGGGTGTCAATAGCACCCCTGGGAGCAGTAACTATAAAATATGCTTCTGCTTCATGAAGGAAACCCTGGGGAGCCCGCCCTGAGCACCCTCTGTGCACCCTGTGTCCTTGAGGGGTTTTTCCTCCATTCCCCAATCCTGCGCTGTGCCTGAATGTAGTGTAAACTTGAGCCATGCAATAGAGCACCTACCCACTAGCTAGTTCCAGTTGAAATTAGTTGTAAGTGTAAAATACACATAGGATTATTAAGATTTAAAATTTCAAAATATTGACTATCTCATTGGTAATATGGTATATTAACTAAGTATTTAAATATTCATGTTTGATTATTTGGGGCAAAACAAAATATAGGATACAAACTTATTTCATATTTCTTTTCACTTTTTAAAATAAAAAGTAAAACTTAATTTTTTTAAAAAACATGCAATTGTACCTGCAATTGTACAATTGGCCTCTGTGCCTCACTGTATTTCTTTTGGACAGTGCTGGTGTAAATTCAGTGAACATGTTCAAAATTAAAGGATAAGTCAACAACTCCATAGTCCTTCTTTATTTTTTTCCCTTTGCAGACTACATAGTTGATGTTCCTTTCTGATAGGTAACAGCAGCAAGTGGGACACATCACTACCTGAGACCAGTGCACACAGTCGGAGAAGAAGGAGGAGGAGGATGAGGGAGGCTGGCAGGGAGAAGTGCAGGGCAGCAGCTGGTTCCATGAGCACCCAGGGCAGGCAGGGACGGGAAGCCTAGGGTTACAGAGCAGAATCAGCCTAGGAGTCTTGGCACCTCAGTGCTGGTCGGGCCCAACCTCTCCCGTTACTCAAGTAGGTCTCATCAGTGCCCCAACGTCATGGAGTCCCCTGCATCCGAGAGCTGAGGTATCTCCTGAGAGAGGGATTCCTTAAACATTCCATGAAATAAGCCATCAATGCCAAGATCAAGGGGGTGTTTTTCTGCCCTCCTCGGCTGACTTCTCTGGCCAGAATCTGGTTTCTTCAGTTGTCGCTGGATTCTATCACACCCTCCTCCCTTCACTTCCTCCTCCCCGAGACCCAGGCTGGGTCACCCGAGGCTAAGCCAGGCCAGGCCGCACCTACCCACCAGTGGGCTTCCCCTCTCCCAGAACCCCATCTCATGTCCACAGGAGATCCTGCTTCCCCCACCTCCTGTGCCCACCCTGGAGCCTCCCCTCCCTTTCCTACCTTCGAGAATTGACGTTGCATTTTCTTTTCTCCTCTGGTTCTCAAATTAAGGGAGGAGACCACCCCTCATATTGTATTATGCCCGATTTCTGCCTCCAAAGAAAGAGCAAGTAAAAATTAAAGGCAGAAATGCAATCCATAGGCAGACAGCTCAGTGCTGCACCCTGGGCCTGGTAGTTAAAGATTAACCCCTGACCTAACCCGTTATGTTATCTATAGATTCCAGGGGTTGTATGGAAAAGCATTGTAAAAATTCCTGTCCTGTTCTGTTCCGTTCTGATTACCGGTTCTGTTCTGTTCTGATTACCATTTTTGAAAAAAAAGAGAGGATGTTTGCAACAAGTGAAAAAAGTTAAGGCATGTCAAAGAATTATCTGTGAAAGTCGTAAGAAAATGGTTATAAAAAGAAATTCATGCAAGAAATGTTGTATAATTTAAAAGTAAGTAGGCATCCTAAATGTAAAACTATTAAATAAACAGTTTATGTACAAGGTATATAAGAAAAGTAAAATATACTTTTGGTAGAATAATTATAAGGAGGCATAAGAATGTAAAGTTGTACCTACATTAAAAGGTTAAAAATATGTATATTTTGTTTTAAAGGTTTAATCAAGTTTTAAAATGTTAATTGGAAACAAAAATTCTGTGTGTAAACATTGACTAAAGTTAAAGAGGTATCATCCAGTTTTTCTGTAAACTGGACATTAAAATAAAAACATAACAGGTTTTTCTTAAAGTACCAACCTGCTCTTTAGCAAAAATTATAAAAGGTTAAAAAGAGTCTATAAAATCTTATCTTATGGTCAAACATTAAAAATTGGATAAATATGTCTACAAGGTTTTATTAAAATTGGGTTTAACATTAATAACACCCTAATATAAAGGTAAAATTTAGCTTATCTGGTATAAAAATCATACAGGAAGCATTGTTAAATGTAAAATAGTATTTGACTTTCTTTGGTTTAAAAACTAATAAAAATAGGTGTTAAAGAAAATTTCTCAGTAAAAAGGTACTGAGGACAATAAAGTCCACTGCCAAAGTCCCCACATTGAAAACAAAAGGTCAATTTCTTAAAAATTATATACTTGGTTTAGTCTTTTAGCACATGTACCACCCCTAGAATTTCCGGTTAATCAGCACCAGCCTGAAGATCATGTTCTCATCAAAGGGTGGAAAGAAGAAAAACCCCAGCCAGCCTGGGAAGGACCCTACCTTGTGCTGCTAACTACCAAGACTGCTGTTCATACAGCAAAAAAGGATGGACTTATGACACCGCAGTCAAGAAAGTGCCACCCCCTCCAGAGTCGTGGGCCATAGTCCCAGGGGAAAACCCTACCAAACTAAAGCTAAGAAAAATTTAACTCTTTTCATCTATTCTGTTACTCTTTCTTCTTTCCTCATTCTATTACTGACCATCTAGTTATTAACATAACCAAGTCAATTTCGCCTCAAACTACTGCATTTAATGCTTGCCTTGTTATACCCTGTGGAGACTTGCCAAGTCAAAGACAGCTTTCTATTTCAGAAAAGTACTTCTGTCCTTCCTGACTCTCCTCAGACTGGGCAATAGTAAAGTATTTGAGACTCCATCTCAAAAAAAAAAGGATCAAATATTCCATCTGCACGTTAAACATAAGCAATTGTTATGCTTCTGCACATGGCAGGCCAGAGGCCCAGATTCACCCCTTCCACTAAGGTGGTCCTCCAGTCGACCAGGCATAGGTTGTATGGTAGTTCTTTTCCAGGAATCTACAGCCTGGAGTAGTAAGTCATGCCAAGCTCTCACTTCTGTATCCCGAAGTCCGGCACCCTGTGGGTCAGCCCCTGAGGGCCATCCAGCTTCCATCTCCCAACACTAAGTTCACTTCGTGTCTCTCACGAGAAGGAGGAAACTTAGCATTCCCTGGAGACCTGAAGGGATGCAATGAGCTTAAGAATTTTCAAGAGCTTATCAATCAGTCAGCCCTTTCTCATCCCCGAGTGGATGTGTGGTCGTATCGTGGTGGACCTTTACTGGGCACTCGGCCAAATAACTGGAGTGGCACTTGTGCTTTAGTCCTTTTGGCTATCCCTTTCACCCTGGCATTTCATCAACCAGAGGGAGGAAAAATAAGACATCGTAAAGCAAGAGAAGCCCCTTATGGGTCTTTTGACTCTCACATCTATTTAGATGCAATTGGAACCCCGCAAGGAATATCAGATAATTTTGAAGCTTGAAATCAAATAGCTACAGGATTTAAGTCAATATTTTAGTAGATGACAGTTAATAAAAATGTAGATTGGATAAACTACATCTATTACAACCAACAGCAATGAGTTTTTCATGAGTTAAAAGAAAAACTCAGATCGGCCCCAGCCCTGGGGCTACCTGACCTGACAAAACATTTTACACTCTATGTGTCAGAAAGAGAAAAAATGACAGTTGGAGTTTTAACTCAGACTGTGGGGCCCTGGCCAAGGCCAGTGGCTTATCTCTCAAAACAACTAGACAGGGTTTCCAAGGGCTGGCCCCCATATCTAAGGGCCCTGGCAGCAATGGCCCTGTTAACACAAGAAGCAGATAAGCTAACTCTTAGGCAAAACCTAGACATAAAGTCCCCCCATGCTGTGGTGACTTTAATAAATACCAAAGGACATCATTAGCTAATGAATGCTAGACTAACTAGATACCAAAGCTTGCTCTGTGAAAATCCCCACATAACCATTGAAGTTTGCAACACCCTAAACTCTGCCACCTTGCTCCCGGTATCAGAGAGCCTAGTTAACATAACTATGTAGAGGTATTGGACTCAGTTTATTCTAGTGGGCCCTACCTCCAAGACCATCCTTAAACATCAGTAGACTGGGAGCCATACGTGGATGGGAGCAGCTTCGCCAACCCCTGCAAAGCGACTCTGAAAAAGACAACAAGCCCTGCTCCAGTCACACCCAGAAACTGACTGGTCTACGCAAGGCCGAAGCATGAGGAAACTCATTGCGGGATTCATTTTTCTTAAAATTTGTACTTGTACAGTAAGGACTTCAACTGATCTTCCTCAGACTGAGGACTGTTCCCAGTATATGCATCAAGTCACTGAGGTAGGACAAAAGATTGCTACAGTCCTATTATTTTATGGTTATTATAAGCGTACTGGGACTCTAAAAGAAACTTGTTTGTATAATGCTATTCTATCCAAGGTATGTAGCCCAGGAAATAACCAACCTGATGTGTGTTATGACCCATTTTAAGCCTCCCATGATCACAGTTTTTAAAATAAAATTAAAGACTAGTCCTTTTCTAGGTGATAAAAGTAAAGTAATAGCTAGGACAGAAGAAAGAGGAGTCCCCAAGCATATAACCCTAAAATTTAATGCTTGTGCCACTATCAATAGCAATCGGCATGGAATAGGAGGCGGTTCTTTAAATTGAGAAACAAAAAGTTATACGGCAGGAAATAAGTATATCTGCCATGAATTAGGCTTATGTGCAAATGTGTGTAATTACTGTCTTGTGTCTTCTAGGCTACTTAGAAAAAGGATGAAAAATATCCTGTTTAGCTCCAAAAAGGAGAAGGCAGCCCCTCCTGTACAAGTGGAAGCTGCAACCCCTTGAAATTAGTAATTACAAATCCCTTAACCCCAAGGTGGAAAAAAGGAGAACATGTATCTCTGGGCATCGATGGAAAAGGACTAGATCCTAGAGTAAATATCTTAGTAAAAGAGGAGGTTTGTAAACTCTCTCCAGAACCAGTATTTTGGACTTTCTATGATGAACTAAATGTGCCAGTACCAGAGACTCCAGGAAAAACCAGAAATTTGTTTTTGCAATTAGCCGAGCATGTAACCCAGTCTCTAAATGTTACTTCATGTTATGTTTGTGGATGAACTTAAATGGGAAATCAATGGCCATAGAAAGCCCGAGAATTAGTGTCTACAGACCCAGTTCCTGATGAATTCCCAGCCCAAAAGAATCACCCTGATCATTTCTTGGTTCTAAAAGTCTCAATTATTGGACAATATTGCATAGCTAGAAAAGGGAAAGAATTCATTCATCCTGTAGGATGACTTAGTTGCCTGGGACAAAAACTGTGTAACGGTACCACAAAAACAGTTACCTGGTGGAGTTCAAACCACATAGAGAAAAATCCATTCAGTAAATGTCCAAAGTTGCAGACCGTTAAGGCCCACCCAGAATCCCACCGGGACTAGACGGCCCCCACTGGGCTATACTGGATATGTGGACATAGAGCCTACACTAAGCTGCCTGATCAGTGGACAGGTAGTTGTGTTATTGGCACTATTAAACCATCTTTCTTCCTACTGCCCATAAAAACAGGTGAACTCTTGGGCTTCCTTGTCTATGCTTCCCATGACAAGCGAAACATAGCCATAGGTAATTGAAAAGATGATGCATGGCCTCCTGAAAAAATTATACAATACTCTGGATGAGATGGCTCATGGGGATACCAGCCCCCCATTTACGTGCTCAACAGAATCATGTAAATGGGGGTCTGTTGCAAGCTGTCTTGGAGATCATCACTAATAAAACTGATAAAGCCTTGACTGTTCTGGCCCGGCAAGAAACTCAGATGAGAAATGCTATCTATCAAAATAGATTAACTCTCGACTACTTGCTAGCAGCTGAAGGAGAAGTCTGTGGAAAATTTAATCTTAACAATTGCTGCCTGTATGTAGATGATCACGGGCAAGTAGTCAAAGATATAGTAAAGACATGATGAAACTGGCACATGTACCTGTACAAGCATGGCACAGATTTGACCCTGAGGCTATGTTTGAAAATGGTTCCCGATTGACGGTTCAAAGATGGCCGAATAGGAACAGCTCCAGTCTACAGCTCTCAGCATGAACGACACAGAAGATGAGTGATTTCTGCATTTCCAACTGAGGTACCGGGTTCATCTCACTGGGGCTTGTCAGACAGTGGGTGCAGGACAGTGGGTGCAGCCCACCGAGCATGAGCCAAAGCAGGGCGAGGCATCACCTCACCCAGGAAGCACAAGGGGTCAGGGAATTCCCTTTCCTAGCCAAGGGAAGCTGTGACAGACAGCACCTGGAAAATTGGGTCACTCCCACCCTAATACTGCACTTTTCCAATGGTCTTAGCAAATGGCACATCAGGAGATTATATCCTGCATCTGGCTCGGAGGGTCCCATGCCCATGGAGCCTCACTCACTGCTAGCACAACAGTCTGAGATTGAACTGCAAGGTG